TTCCTTCCTTCCTTCCTTCCTTCCTTCCTTCCTTCTTTCCTTCCTTCTTTCCTTCCTTCCTTCCTCCTTTCCTGCCTGCCTGCCTTCCTGCCTTCCTGCTAGCTGCTGTGAGCTGTGTGTTATCTCTCCATGCTGTGATTGTTTTTACTGAGTGTCTTTATTATCTGCTCACCTGTTAAAGGTACCAGATCTCTAATCAGTCATGTATGTACTTTTTAAAGGGAAAAAATAAATCAGGAAAGACTGCATAGAATAGGACCCATGTTGCAGATTGAGTCTAAATTGGCCTCAAGTATGAAAAGTATTATTAGAGTGTGAAACCTTAGATATCTTTTTCATCCATGCATGTTCTCTTATTCTTGTAGGCTTTCAGACAAGCCGGATTCATTTACAAGGAAGCGATGAGGCTGTTTGTAGCCTGGCCTGGTTACACCATGTATTTTTGGTGGTGGGCCTCGGCGATGGGTCCCTTTGTGTCTGGAAGACCTTTGAGAGTAGCTCTGACTGCTGCCATCAGTTCAAGGCTCATGAGAAAGCGGTGATGGGCCTTGCGGTGTCTGAGAAACTGGTGGCTTCTGTCTCAGGTGAGTCCAGGGGGGATGGCCTCGACCAGTCAGGTTGCTTTGAAGACCTCAAGAACCAGAAACAATTGAGCAAAGGAAGGGAAGCTCTCCTGGGAGGATTCAATGAGACTGAATCATGGTGGCGCAGTGGTTAGAATGCTATATTGCAGGCTACTTCTGCTGACTGCCGGCTGCCAGCAGTTCGGCAGTTCGATTCTGACCTGGCTCAAGGCTGACTCAGCCTTCCATCCTTCCGAGGTTGGTAAAATGAGGACCCAGATTGTTGGGGGCAATGTGCTGACTCTGTAAAACCGCTTAGAGAGGGCTGTAAAGCACTGTAAAGCGGTATATAAGTCTAAATGCGATTGCTATTGCAGGTAGCAGTACCTGCCTAATATTGTCTAGGCTTGACAACTAAGTATGGTCCAGCTTGGTTAGAACCTGGATGGTAGGCTACAAGTAGTTCTCAATTTATAACCATTCCTTTAGTGAATATTACCTTGGTCAATGGTAGTAACTGTGAGAGGGACCTCGGAGTCCTAGTGGACAATCACTTAAATTTGAGCCAGCAGTGTGTTGCAGCTGCCAAAAAGGCCAACACAGTGCTAGGCTGCATTAACAGGGATAGAATCAAGATCACGTGAAGTATTAATACCACTTTACAATGCCTTGGTAAGGCCACACTTGGAACACTGCATCCAGTTTTGGTCACCACGATGTAAAAAAGATGTTGAGACTCTAGAAAGAGTACAGAGAAGAGCAACAAAGATGATTAGGGGACTGGAGGCTAAAACATATAAGGAAAGGCTGCTGGAATTGGGTATGTCTAGTTTAAGGAAGAGAAGGACGAGGGGGGACATGATAGCAGTGTTCCAATATCTCAGGGGCTGCCCCAAAGAAGAGGGAGTCAAGCTATTCTCCAAAGCCCCTGAAGGCAGGACAAGAAGCAATGGATGGAAACTAACCAAGGAGAGAAGCAACCTAGAACTAAGGAGAAACTTCCTGACAGTTAGAACAATTAACCAGTGGAACAACCTGCCTCCAGAAGTGGTGAATGCTCCAACACTGGAAGTTTTTCAGAAGAGACTAGACAACCATTTGTCTGAAATGGTATAGCATCTCCTGCTTGAGCAGGGGGTTGGACTAAATGACCTCCAAGGTCCCTTCCAACTTTATTATTATTGTTGTTGTTGTTGTTGTTGTTATTCAAAGTTACAGCGGCACTGAAAAAAGTGATTTATGGCCATTTTGCACATTTACAGCCATTGCAACATCCCTGTGGTCATGTGATCGAAATTCAGACATTTGGCAACTGACTCATATTTATGACAGTGTCCTGGGATCATGTAGTCACCTTTTGCAACCTTCTGACAAGCAGATTCAGTGGGGGAAGCCAGATTCACTTAACCACCCTGTTACTAGCTTAACAACTGCAGCGATTCACTTAACAACTGTGGCAAGAAAGGTCGTAAAATGGGGCAAAACACACTTAGCAACTCTCTTGCTTAGCCACAGAAATTTTGGGTTGAATCCCAGGTTTTTAGACCAGACTTGAGAAGCCAAAATCTATGCCACGGGTGGCAAATCACTTCCATCAGTCTATCATTGATGATGTTAACCTACTTTGGGTAATGAAACAAGTGCAAGAAAACAGCCAAGCTTAGAGCGCATAGAGGATCTCTCCCCCTCCACTTTGTTCCCAAGGAAACTCTAGTCCAGTGATGGCCAACCTTTTAGAGACCGAGTGCCCAAACTGCAACCCAAAACCCACTTATTTATCGCCGGGTGCTGGGCGGGCGTGGCGCACTGGGTGGGCGTGGTTGTGGTCATGGCAGATTGGGTGGGTGTGATCACCTCAATGTTGCTCGTGGGGAGGGACACCTGTGGGGGCCAGGCAGGGTTGGGGGAGATCCAGGGGGTCTCTGGCAGGTGGGGCGGTGGGCAGGAGGCTCGTCCTGCAGGGTGAGGCGAGGCAAGGTGAGGCGAGGCAGGGCAGGGGTGCCATTGTCACAGGGCAAGGTGAGGCAGGTGAGGCCGCCTGACACCATCGGCCCCTGGACACAGAGGCCAGCGAGCGCATGGGTGCTGGATGCATCCAGCCATGTGGGACCTCAGTGAGTTAGTGGGCGGCTGGTTGAAGAGGGACGGTTGCCATTTCCGGGGCATGGCGAGCGTGCCCACAGAGGGCTCTGTGTGCCGCCTCTGGCAAGCATGCCATAGGTTCGCCACCACTGCTCTAGGAAGTCACTTCGGAGCCGAACTTGACTTGAAAGAGATTTCCCTTGTCTTCTTTTGGTGAATGCAGATATTGTCTCATTTACCTACATATCTGTGATAACAGGAGAAAGGAAGAACCTGGCTCTATAGGTAACATAAACCCTACTTTCCAGAGGTTTTACTGAAGAAGTGTATGGCTAAAATTATGTGGAGGGTGTGTTGTTTACGGGCGGGTTTATTTTTTGGCTTAGATGGCACCTGGATTACTCTTTAAGATCCCAGCTTTGATGTTCCTGGTAGTCTGTTGGTTTGCTTGATCCTCTTAATGCTAGACAGGCTCTTTTCAGGAGCAGAAATGAGCTACGGAATCTGGAATGAAATGTGTGCAAAAGATGTCTCTGGGTGTGTTCAGAATGCTTAGGTTTAATTACCTCCCCCTTTATTTGTTGAGTTTTTGCAACCCAGGTTTGCAATAAAGAGGCAGTGCTTGTAAGGACAATACCACCTGGGGAGAAAGGAAGAGAATGGGTTTATATGTAACCCCATATTTATATTTAAGGCTTCGTGGTATCCAAAGCAGAACATCCAGATTTAGTCACGGTTTTGTTCCATACAGTATTGACCTTGTGAACTCTATAAAGCTTCCTCCTTCCGTTATGTATTCAAGATGGACAGTGATTAATATTTATATGTTACGTATATGTAAGGGTATAGGTCTATACATATGTTGTATACAGTATAGTATGTTTAAATGTGTGTTATGTATGTGTACACTTTGAGAGCAAGCAACTAAATTTCATTTTTAACGTGTGCCATTGTGCCCACAGTAAAAAATGACAATAAAGGTTATCTATCTATCTATCTATCTATCTATCTATCTATCTATCTATCTATCTATCTATCTATCTATCTATCTATCTATCTATCTATCTATCTATCTATCATCTGTGTCTATATCTGTCCGTCCGTCCGTCCGTCCGTCCGTCCGTCCGTCCGTCCGTCCGTCCGTCCATCCATCCATCCATCCATCCATCCATCCATCCATCCATCTATCTATCTATCTATCTATCTATCTATCTATCTATCTATCATCAATCATCTGGTTTAAAATATCACTATCCAGATGGTTGTTGGGCTAGCCGCTAGAGCAAGGCGATGTTGAAGGAATTCAGAGGGCCACATATTTTGTGAAACTACCAAAAGACATATATTGCTTTAACCTCGTTAAGTCTCAAACCTTTTGATTTCTCTTCACTTTTACTTTCATATATACATATTCATATTTATATTTATATTCACATTCATATTCATATTCATATTTATACATATATTTTTCCAGAGGATTTCACCGTTGGGCTGTGGCTTTCAGAAACACTGAAACCAGGCCCTGCTTTGGACGCCGGCATCTCACCACTCTCCATCCTCCGTGGTCACACTTCTGGGGTGACCTGTTGCGCCTTCAGCCTTGACGGCAACTATCTTGCTACTGGAAGCAAAGACCGGGTAAGGCTGTCAGATGACCATCCCCCAAGGGCAGAAGAACTTTTATCATGTCCCAAAGGAAGTGGGATGAGTTTCTGGGGTACAGCTTCCCTGTCACACCCAACCTGCCCCCCCCCCCGATACTCCAGAACAAGAATATTGGTCCATTCATCAGTTGTGCATTGGGATGGTGGAGGCTCTTTTTCCTAACAAATGTCTGCTGGAGTGGATTGCTCATCTGGACACCTGCCCGCTATCCTTTGTAGCGTACATAATGAATCTTTCTGACCTGTGAAAAAATGGGTGCCTAAGAAAGTAGAAAGAAGGAAAGAATAGGGCAGTGGTTCTCAGCCTGTGGGTCGGGACCCCATTTGGGGTCGATCGACCATTTCATGGGGGTCGCCAAGCAAGGCTGTCCGCCATTTTTTTTGTCCGCCATTTTTTTGTCCGCCATTTTTCCCCCTTTTCCGGCGGGTGCCTTACCTCCCTTGGGCTGGGCCAGCTGGTGGTCGGCCTGCTCCGTCTCTGCCGCTTGCCAGCTACGCCTCGGCCGGCGCAGGGGGCGGAACCACGCATGCGCGGCGCTCCCGGGCAGGGAAAGTCCTCGACTTACGACCGGTTGGGTAGTCCTCGACTTACGGCCGGTTTAGTCCTCGACTTACGACCGGTTTAGTCCTCGACGTACGACCGGTTTAGTCCTCGACTTACGCCCAGTTGGGGTCGCGGCATTAAAAAGGTTGAGAACCACTGGAATAGGGCAAAAAACTGCTGCAGTTCTTTCCTTTGCACTGAATGCATCTCCTCCCAATCTCAGGCCTTGTTTCTGTGGGATGTAAGGGACCCTCTTCAGAAGACTCCCTCCCTCTTGCGCGCCCTGCTTTTCTGTCACCAGGACTGGATTTCCAGCTGTGCTTGGATTGGCACCATGTTGGTGAGTTTGGAGAAATGCCCAGGCTTCTGGGGAGGAGAGTCCCCCAGGCAGAGATGGGGCTGGGTTAGTTTCTGTCATTGTCAAAGGGATGGCCCACCACTTAGTGGCCACTGAAGTAGCATTTGCGAGGCCACTATTGTGAATCAGTAGGAAAAGAGGGCCAATCGAGAAACCAGGAGACTGTGAGTTCTAGTCCCGCTTTAGCCATAAAAGCTGACGGAGTGAATTTGGGCCCATCACTCTCTCTCTCAGTCCCGTTCACCTCACAGGGTTGTTGCTGTGGGGGAAAATAAGAAGAGGAAGGAGTATTAGGTATGTTCCTAGCCTTGAGTTGTTTCTAAAAATAGAAATAAATCTGAAAAAATAAAACGTGTGACAGGTGGGAACATTCCTCTGAGTCAATCAAAGAGGCAGCACTTTCTTACCGTTGATGTCTGCTGGGTGGCTGGATTTGTCTAGACCAGGGGTAGGCAACCTTGGCCCTTTTATGACTCATGGACTTCAACTCCCAGAATTCCTGAGCCAGCATGGCTCAGCTTGGAAACTCTCCCTTTCCCCTCAGCATGGCTGGCTCAGGAATTCTGGGAGTTGAAGTCCACGAGTCATAAAAGGGCCAAGGTTGCCTACCCTTGGCCTAGACAGTTGTTGCATTAATTGTGGAGCATTTAAGTGTTAGATGTTATCATTATTCAAGACCCATCAAATTTTTATTATGGCCATAAGGCCAGCAGACAGGTGAAAGTAAAACAGAGGACAATGGAAATATGCAAGGCTGAAGAAGGAAAGAAATTAGGACACATTTTCAGACCCAAGAAGATGTGGGTAGTTGCTTATATAGCAGAACTGCATCTCCTTTTTCAGGAAAAAGGACCAAGGTGCAATCATCTAAGTAAAAATAAAGTTGACTCTCCTACAGGCTTAAAGAGAGAACAGTAGAAAAGTTTTCCTTCTAGTCACTCACAGTTAGTTCTTGACTTGCGACTGTTCATTCAGCAACTATTTGAAGCTAGGCCAGTGCTGAACAAAGGGACTTGCTGTACCCGAAGTTATGGCCACTGCAGCGCCCCCATGGTCATGTGAAAAGTATTTGGGCACTTGTTACAACCAATTATGGGTTCCTTGCAGTAGCCCCTACCCACCTATCAGTTCTGGGAGCCATTTTGTGATAAGGTAAACCCTGTGGCTTCTATTTCCTTTGAGCATCTACATGCTTTCAAAGGATGACAAAGACTGGATAATCCTCATGTGGGCAATAACATAACTTTTGACTGACTGACTGACTGACTGACTGACTGATTGATTGATTGATTGATTGATTGATTATGTGCCTTCAAGCCACTCTCAATGGCCACACAGCTTTCTCCAGAGAGCTGGCTCCCCTCATAATGTGTCAAAAGTAGGATCATTGGAGCCCGGTTCCTTGTGTCTCAAATGAGAAATCTTGATTGATTTGTTTGATGAACCATCCATTTGTTCAGTTTTCAGTCTGGTGGCCTATCAGTTAAGACAATGTTGGCAGTTTGAGACTCAAGTACCGCATGATGGGGTGAGCTTCCGTTACTTGCCTCAGCTCCTGCCAACCGAGCAGTTCAAAAGCATGCTAATGCGAGTAGATAAATAGGTACCACTTCAGTGGGAAGGTAACAGCATTCCTTGCCCCTCAGCATATCGTCATGCTGGCCACATGACCATGGAGATGTCTTTGGACAAGGCTGGCTCCCTTGGCTAGAAAACTGAGATGAGAACCGCCCCCCTAGAATCAGACATGACTGAACAGGAGAAACCTTTGCCTTTACCTTTATAGTTCTAAAGTTTTTTCTCTCTCTCTGCATATATAACTCCTCTCTCTGACCCTTGTCCCTTTGGCAACAGCTATCCGGCTCCAATGATGGTACCGTTTGTCTCTGGGATTCTACAAATAGCGAGTGTATCCAGAAATTCCTGGGGCACCAAAGCCCAGTCTGTGGTATTACAACTGAGGTAAGCCAAAGGTGGAATATTTTCAAA